TGGTGGTGAACTTTACCTCCTGTTCAGAAATTTCGAGGGATTTCATGTTGTTTCCGACAATACGTAGCTCTTCTTCCAGGTCAACGATTTTCCTGCATAACAGAGGGCGCGTCGACATAAGTGTCGGATGTAGGATGCACAGAGCGCACAAACCAATCGCATTCCAAACCAGTCGAGCACATGCAGAATTTAATGCAACCTGGATGCACATATTGGGGCATGCCACTGGAACGCGTAGGCATAAATCCGTCTTCACTTGTCAAGATTGAAGTAAGTATATGCAAAGGGACAACTATTGTGATTAACTTCTAACCTAGCCAGGTCAAACATAAAAATACTCCAACTTAGGTATATTCGAGACAATGCAATCCTGAAAGGGAAGACAGTGAAACAGCCCCGAATACTCTGTTCTAGACTGCAGGTCCTCTACCTCTAGGCGCCTTAGATCCCCCCGTTGACCTGGGTTCTGATAGCAGATGAACCTCTCATTGGAATCTCATTTAACTCAATTCCAAAGACGGCGTTTTAGGATGCTCAACGGGAACTTTCAATTTTTTGACGACGGACCATCAAACTGCAACGTCCTCTCAAACTTAAGTTCATACCTCCAAGACCTGGTGCGCCTATTCCCTACTTCATTTCTCCTATGAAGTAGTATTTGAATGCAGAGTTCTGCTAATAGTTTTCATAACGCTGGTTCGCCAACGCCAAGTCTGTGTGAAAGCAGGCCTTCGCACCTAACGCACACATGACTGAGTTAAAAATGGCGGGGTGGGGGGGGCAACACATTAACCTGACTGCCAAACCGACTGAGGGCCAGACCTGCATGACGTAAGCTCGTGCAACTAAAGTGGAAGGAAGCGGGGAAAGGATGGAGGGAGCATGCGTCAAATGAGAAGTGTGGGATTCAAGAGTAGTCGATTCTGTGGCTGAAATAAAGAGACGGATTTAAAAATTGGTTTGTGTAACTTCCATTACTATTGTTCGTTAAAACAGTGACTGAAGACAAAAAACGTAAGTGTGAGGCAGGATAATGACTTTTATCCGAGAAAAGGTGACATTTGCCCTGAGTGATATAGCCCGTACTGTATAAATCTACTTTTTGTGAAAACCCGGAAACGTGGAGAACGCAAAAATAACAATATGCGTTGGCCTTACCGTGGATTCGCTCAGTTCCATGGATTTGAGGTTGGTGGTCACGGAACGAAGCTCATCTTCCATCGACCGGATGCGACTTTAAGAGCCAAATTAAAAAAAAAAACATTTGACCTGGGGAATTTCGTCGTAGTACATTTAAACCATAAACACACTGGCTGACTTGAGTTGATTAAACGCTACGGGGCAAGACGTAAGTGAAATGACCTACCTGAGGCCAAGCAAGGACTGAAAGTGCTTTAATGTCCCATAAAAGTGGCTAAGGTTATTCAAGTGGAGTTCCAATACTAGCAATCAAGAGACCTCGTATGCAGTAAATTAAAATGCAGCGGCATGCTAGTTCTCCAATTAAATTTAGGCATATCACACTCCGAGAAATGACTACTTTAGCACTGCAATTTTGTCATCACTTTTTAATTAATACACAGTCCACGATTTATTGTTAAAAACCCGTGAAGAACGAACTTCATCGCTCGTAATAATTGGGGACAAAGTAAATTTCGAATACAGTGTTGGAAAAACAAAAGTAACTTTTTGCAGGGAGTTCAGCAAGCACTTATCATTTTCCGCACTTTTTCAATTTACTACTTAGCGTGCACATGCTCGCTGAGAACCTCTTTTAAAATTCCTTCTCACAGTAAAGAGTAAGGCGGATGGGAAAAAAAAGTGGCCCGATTTGTGAGGAGGAGGACCCCCAGTGACTGCTCGACCGTCATAGTCAACGATATCCACAGTGTACTCCATAGTATGATGGGCGCAGAAACGGTGACTTGCGTGCGAAGTAGGCTTGCACAGGAACTACTACACTCTCACCGTTCCCTCATTTGGTCCCGGCGTCATGACCGGATTAAGAAGCCTGGAGGTAGAAGAGGGTGCTAGTGGTTTGCGAGGCGGAACCTGCACTTAGGACTGTGGCAACGCCCACGGACAGTGACACGGCGTGACAGTTCGTCGTACTGAACAATGCGACACCGTAAGTCCTTAGCCCGCATTTCACCTGCCCCATCCCGCTTACAGTGGCGAAGAGAAATGGATACACAGCTGAAGACTGGCATAATTGGTGGTTGAGTGTACCGTGACTTTTTCCAAGTCGGATTACAAAGCCTGAAGAGCGCACAGCCTCGTTTAAAGAGACTATAAGGGCCCAATGGGATCCCCTTTCTAGCTAAAACCCATGTCACCATGATAAATAATGACGTTTAATAAACCGGTGTTGCACAGTTTTGCATGCCCATTCAACACAGCTTGGTTAAAGGTTTCATGAGTTTCAGCGGCCACTGTGAAGGGAAGGTCAAATTTCAGGAGGACCTATAGCAAGCTCTAGTAGGCAAGTACAGTAGGAACAAACTTTGCAAAAAAAATACTAGTCCAGGATATGAGGGGGAGGGGGGCGGGTTTCGAAAAAACGGAACGCCTGCCTGTCGGTGACTTGAGATTGGCCGAAGAGACTACACTTTTCCAGATGTTATCAGAAGCGTGTAATTACATTCTAGAAGAACAATGACGCCAGATAAAGCGGAGGAAAGGCATGCCAAGAATAAACTTAAAAAAATAACTCACGCTTCGGCATCTTCGACTCGCTTGTCGGCCGCTGCGAGAGCTTCTTCGGCTTGGGCAAGTTTAGTTGTAGCCTGGTATCGACCAT